TGACATTCCTCCCCTTCAGACATCCTTCGCCACCATTCGATTGCGTGTCCTTAAAAGTTGTCACAGCAGTTGTCTGAATGTGTTGCAGACACATTAATGAAATGCACATGCTTAAGACTCCATATGTCTTTGAGCTTCTTTGTGCAGCTCACTGAAAACTCGATTGTTGTGGACCACCGGGCTCCACAATGTTTGTATATGTGCCTTAGACCAAACATACCAACAACATAGAATTATTAATGTTATTAATATGTCTCATCTTATCCTTCATTGAATCCTCATCCTTGCTGGATGTCGTCACTTAGTCAAACGTTTTGGCACTTTTCCACAGATGCTGGAGAATATGGCTCATCTTGGACATCTTTTTAATACTGTTCGCCTTTCATACTTCTATGTAAACTACTTCTTTTTTTTTTTTTAAACTTGAGCCACAGTTAGTTTTAGTTTTTACTTTTCTTTCTTAACCACTTTTAATCCAGAGGAAGCACTTAATCCAATGCCTATTTTGTGTCTGCACTCATTTTTTGAACATTTCTAAAGAGATATTAGTGACTGAGGACCAGTCTGGATGGCAGAAAGGGTTGAGGGCGCACATACACATCGGTTTTCCTTCTGGTGACAAAGATGGAGAGAACTAAACAATCCAAAAGTGTATTTACCCTTCACTAGAGTGACACTGACAATGTTCAGTAATCGTATGAGTATGTCTGAGTGAAGCAATCATGTATATAAATGACAGAATATGGTCACTTTAACAGATTTCACAATTGAGCAATGATGGGTATCTCACTGACTTAAAAAGAGCATATTTATTGCAGCTGTGTTACAGGCCACCCTCACTTAGTCCTGTGGGAAATATATGGCTTTTTAGTTTATTCAAAACAGCTGTATGCTGCATCTGGAAACGGGACTGATGAGAATCATGAGACTGAATCAAAACAAATTGCTGAATGATGGTAGTAAGCTGAGTGGAAAAGCGAATTAAACAAGAACTGTTGGTGGATTCACCGCACGTCATTACTTTGCCATTTTATCAATTGTTGATATCAAATATTGATCAGTGTAGCGTTCATGTTTTTTAATTTTCTTGACTCAATGTGCATCACCCCATAACACTCTTTAATATTAACCAATACCCAGGCTGTTTCTCGTCCATTAAATATCAGCCGTATGACTGTGTCAAAGTCGACAGTTTTGTTTATCAGCTTTCATTACTATAGAGACTACTCGGTTTATACAATAGGATTAGATTTGCCAGTTTTCATCAAGTCATCACAAACACCAGTCACATGTGAAGCTCTGAGACTTTCAAGGCTCTCAACTCAGTACTAGTTTCAGTTATAAGAAGAGATCAAAGAGAGCGTGCAAGGGTTGACTTGTTAAAGCCAAACTCCGCCTTAAAACAGAATTCATACACGCTGTTTTTATGATCAAAGACTCAAAGTCAGTAGACATAAACAACTCCTTTTAATAAAGTCTGAAGCCACAAAATCGAGGCCCAAATCTGTGATATTAATGATATTAATAATAAAAAAAATCATGCTTGCTAACATTAGACATGTTGGAAACTTTGCTGCCGGTTTCAGTACAGATAGTGATACTGCACCATGACTCTCCATGTACGTGCCACAACGCCAATGTGTCAACGTCAGAATATGACTGGGTTGGTTCTGTATTGTGTTTGTGCCTGAAAATCTGCCTGATCGTCCTTTTACTCCTCATTCTGTTGGATTTTGGAAAGACATCTGATGCTGAAATGCTGATGAAGTATCTTAAACAGACTAAATAATTATCAATGGAGTCTAAAGCATAGACCCAGGATGTAATTACCTATGAAACGTCTTTAATTCAACACAACTCTCCGTTTAGCCTTTTCCCATCATACCTGAGTGCTTCTTCCAGTTTGGCTATCTTCCTTTTAGCCTCTGCCTTTTCCTTTTCTGCCTCAGTTTGAAGTGCCAAAACCTTAGACAGATAGAGAGAGAGCGAGAGAGAGAGAGCGAGAGAGGAAGAGGGAGCAAGGATGAGAGTATAGGAGGAACAGAGAGAGAGAGGTGCGAGTGAGTGCAAAAGCAGACACCATCAAACATCACTCAAGGAAACTCTTCTGCCTGTGACCTTGTGCATCTGGTCTCATCTCTTCTATCACCCCATCAAAAGTACCATCTGAGCCCATCCCGCCTGCCTTAGAGGGCCTCTCAATCTGGATCTATGGCAGCCATATGGGACCTTCTCATGTCCAGATACCATACCACAGTCTCCTCCTTGTGTATCCTTTACCACTCCTCGGGAGCGGAGCGAGGAATCTTTCCAGAGTAAACAAAAAGGAAAATGAACAACGGACTTGTCTGTCTTTCATTCCCCTGTCACCTCGTGAAGCAAAGAAAGAAGAGGAAAAGGTAGGAAAAAAAATACAGGTGGATTACGAGAGCAAAAAAAGAAAGAAACACAGACACACACACACACACACATACATCAAAAGCAATTCACTGAGGGAAGCTTAATTTAAATCCTCCTTGACCCCAAATAAAGAACACACATGCCTGCTAAGTTTTTGCAGGTGTATCACTCACAGGCAGCCAGATGTGTATGCCAGCCTGCCACCAAGATGTGGCACTTTGAAGATGACCCAGCTGCAGTGTGGAGTTTAAACCTGATCTTTACCTATGAAGTCTGGCCTGGCCTAGTCTGGTCCAGCTCAGATCATTAACAATAGCCTTTGTACTCTATGCTTTATGGCTGCTCTATGGCTTTAAAAAG